CCCGGGGTCAGCAGCACCACTGGACCCCAGGGAATCCCCCCAGCACTCCAAAAGGTAAGGAGGCTGGGGGGATTACATTAAAAAAAAAAAAACTAGTGTTAGTGTGAGAGTGAGTGTTAGTGTGTGTGTGAGGTGTTAGTGTGAGTGTGTGTGTTAGTGTGTGTGTGTTGCTAGTGAGTGTGTAGTGTAAGTGTGTGTGTCTTCAGCACTTACCTTTCTCCAGCCGACTCCCTAACGCCTGAGGATCCCTCAGCCTTCCTCAGCTCCTAATGCCACCGGGCTAAGACGATTCAAACCGCCTAAGGAAAGCATTACTCTCAATGCCGTCCCATGGATGTTCAGTGTGTTCCTCAGCGGCTGCCAGTGAGACAGCCACTAGAGGCTGGATTAACCCTCAGTGAAACAGCAGTTTCTCTGAAACTGCTATGTTTTCAGCTGCAGGGTTAAAACTAGAGGGACGTGACACCCAGACAACTTCATTGAGCTGATGTGATCAGGGTGTCTGTAGTGGTCCTTTAAAGGACCACTATAGTGCCAGGAAAACATACTCGTTTTCCTGGCACTATAGTGCCCTGAGGGTGCCCCCACCCTCAGGGACCCCCTCCCGCCCGGCTCTGGAAAGGGGTAAAACTTACCTTTTTCCACCGCTGGGCGGAGAGCTCTCCTCCTCCGATCCTCCTCTTCTCCTCCCGTCGGCTGTATGCACACGCGCGGCAAGAGCTGTGCACGCATTCAGCCGGTCACATAGGAAAGCATTCATAATGCTTTCCTATGGACGCTGGCGTGCTCTCACTGTGAAAATCACAGTGAGAAGCACGCAAGCGCCTCTAGCGGCTGTCAATGAGACAGCCGCTAGAGGAAATAGGGGAAGGCTTAACCCATTCAGAAACATAGCAGTTTCTCTGAAACTGCTATGTTTATGAAAAAATGGGTTAACCCTAGCTGGACCTGGCACCCAGACCACTTCATTAAGCTGAAGTGGTCTGGGTGCCTAGAGTGGTCCTTTAAGTGTGTGTGCATCTGCATGCACTGGCGTACATACCGCGGTCGCAGGGGTCGCAGCCCTGTAACCTCTGCGACCAGGTGCCCACCGTCATGTGTTGCGGCCCGCGCGCGCGCGCGCGCGGGGGGGGCCCACGGATCAATTTTCGCACCGGGGCCCCATGGGTCCTGTGTACGCCACTGCCTCCAGGATCACCTACTTTGGAAACTTAAAAGGGGAAAAGATCATAGATCCACAACACATAGTGAACAAATTCACAAAATACTACAGTTCACTGTACAACCTGAGGGAGGACTCACAAACCCATTACCCCGACCACTGACGAAATAGAGGCCTTTCTCTGAGACTTACAGCTCCCTATGCTAGGACCGGACAACATTGCATATCTCACAAGCCCTTTTACAGAAAAGGAACTCTCTGCTCTGATTGCTTCCCTTCCAGCCCTCAAAGCTCCAGGCCCTGACAGGCTCTCTAATATCTACTACTAATTCTCATGCATCATCTACCTACACCTTCTGGCCCTGATCAACCATTGTGCAGAAAAGGGGTCTCTTGCTGAGGAAATGTTTGTGACCCACATATTGACTCTACCCAAACCAACTCATTGCAAGAATATAAGGCCCAAATCTCTGCATAATGGTGATGCAAAGATTTATGCGAAACTCCTTAGCAACAGATTAACCCCACTGCTACCCAAACTGATTTATATCCATTAAACAGTGTTTGTAAGGGGTAGTTAGGGCCAATCCATGGTAAATTACATGTGGACTCCCAAACCCCTCCGCAAACCCAAGCCCAGCTTATTCCCTTCCACGAGGCTTACTTTAAAAACTTGGGACAATTTCATGACACTGTTGGGTTGAAAATTCAAATTTTACCACATGACAGGAGGCTTCATATTTTGCATAACTTTCTTTACTTTATGCCTCCAGCAGCACAAGTCAATCAGAAAAAAAATTTAAACCAATCAGTAACAGACATCACATCCATATATAAAGCCCTGACAGACACATGACTTCCTCTTTCTTTGCTGCTTACCAGCCAAGGCACAGGTCAGAGTATTTTGCTCCAAACTGTTTTACTGATATTGCAAATTGTCATTAGTTAACCTCGTAAGGACGGAGCCAAATGTAAACAAAACCTGGCATTTGCGCTACATGTCTGTCCAACCGTAATTCACCTCTTTCATATTAAATGCACCCACCCTTATTATATATCATTTTATTCAGGGGAAACAGGGCTTTCATTTAATATCAAATATTTAGCTGTGAAACATAATTTAATATGAAAAAAATGGGAGAAAATAAGATTTTTTTTTATTTTTTTAGTTCTACATGACATTTTAACTGTCAATGTCATAATACTGTTTGCTTTTACTGCAATAAAATACACATATTTGTATTCAGTAAAGTCTCACGTGTAAGACAGTACCCCCTATGTACAGGTTTTATGGCGTTTTGGGAAGTTACAGGGTCAAATATAGCACGTTACATTTGAAATTGAAATTCGCCAGATTGGTTACGTTGCCTTTGGGACTTGTATAGTAGCCCAGGAATGAAATTTACACCCACAATGGCATACCATTTGCAATAGTAGACAACCCAAGGTATTGCAAATTGGGTATGTCCAGTCTTTTTTAGTAGCCATTTGGTCACAAACACTGGCCAAAGCTAGCGTTAGTATTTGTTTGTGTGAAAAATGCAAAAAACGCCAATTTTGGCCAGTTTTTGTGACTAAGTGGCTACTAAAAAATACCTTGGGTTGTCTACTATTGCAAATGGTATGCCATAATAGGGGTAGTTTTCATTCTTGGGCTACCATAGGGTCTCAAAGGCAACGTAGCCAATTTTAATGTGAAAAAAATGAAACGCAAGCCTTATATTTGACGCAGTAACTTTTGAAAATACCATAAAACCTGTACATGAGGGGTACTGTTGTACTAGGGAGACTTCGCTGAACACAAATATAATATCGCCCGTGTAAGTGCTGTTTGTGCATGAAAAATGCAAAAAAACTTCACTTTTACTGGTGATATCATCGTTGTAATACATTTACATTTACATTTTTTGCATTTTTCACACACAAACAAATATTAACACTAACTTTGGTCAGGCTTTTAACCACTTAAGGATGGAGCCAAATGTACACGTTGTGAACGAAACAAAATGTAAACAAAACCTGGCATTTGCGCTACATGTCTGTCCAACCGTAATTCACCTCTTTCATATTAAATGCACCCACCCTTATTATATATCATTTTATTCAGGAGAAACAGTAAAAAGTATCGCAGCAATAATATCATCTGTGAAAGTGCTGTTTGTGCGTGAAAAATTCAAAAAATTTCACTTTTACTGGCGATATCACCGTTGTAATACATTTTACTGTTTGGAAACACTAATATTTGTGTTCAGCGAAGTCTCCCGAGTAGAACAGTACCCCCCATGTACAGGTTTTATGGTGTCTTGGAAAGTTATAGGGTTAAATATAGTGCTAGCAAATTAAATTCCTTTTACTTTCGGCATGGGTTGTCAGGCAGGTCCCCCTAATTGTAATTAATTAAGATACCTAATTATGTAAAAATATTACATAAATATATATGTAGAATTAATATATGTATATATATACGTTTGTGAATCTATATGTGTATATATATATATATTTTATTTTATTTTTTTTTAAATATTTTTTATTTATATATAGGTATATATATAGTGATATATACGTATATATTTATGTATGTAGATATATATATTATTTCATTCTACGTGTATTTTGATATAAATATATATATATATATATATATATATATATATATATATTAAAATCACAATACAGTTAGAACGAAATAACACACATCTATATATTTTTTAATTATTTATTTTCAATTATTTTTTAATTTTATTTTTTAACGCATTTACATATTTAATTTTTTATATTATATATAAATATATATATATAACAATAATTATATATATATATTTAATCAGTAACAGTCTACGTGTAATTTGATATTAATATATATATATATATAATTATATATATTAATAGTAAAATACACCTAGACAGTGTACGTGTGTGTATGCATATGTGTATATATATACTTAGATCATATATATATAATATATATATTTGATCTAAGTATATATATATATTTTTTTACACTTTACTTTTTAATTCATTTATTTTCATTTCATTTCCAGCCAGCAGGGGGACCACCTGTCATTACAGGCAGCCCTCCTGCTGGCAATGCAGGAGGCAGCTACCCCCGGCCATGTGATTGTGGGGTCCTCGCAAGGACCTCACTCTTACATGGCCGGGGGGCACCGGAGGAAGAGGATCTACCGTGGGGGGGCTCCCTGGGAGTCCCCCCAACCGCGATAGCCGGCGTGGGACCGCCGGCGACCGGGTAAGTAAGAAAAGACCGGAGGGCGTACAATTACGCCCGGCGGCGTTTAGAGCCGCCTAAAGTAGGGCGTAATTGTACGCCCTCCGGTCTTAAGGGGTTAAACATGTATTGCTTAACATTCAGTTGCTCCAAACTGTTATTTTATTAATATTGCTATGGTCACTGTAGTTAGACATTTCATGCTAAACATTCAGTTTTAATCCAAACTGGTTTTCTGGATATTGCAATGGTCACTTTAATTAAACTTTATTACTTGACTTTCAGTTTGCTCCAACTGTTTTTATTAATATTGCTATGGTCACTTTAGTTAGATTTTTAATGCTAGACATTCAGCTTTTGCCAAACTGTTTCTGGATATGCATGGCCACTTTAGTGAAACTTTATGTCAGGGGGACTCTGTTCCATACCGGCAGGCCGCGATCGTAGAGATTCACGTCGGCCATGTCATTTAGCCAGTTCGTGATTCCCATGAACTGGCAGCTAGTTCTGTACTGTTTAAAATATTTTTCCTGCAAAATAAAAGTTTTACAAGTCCTTTTGAGCGCAATACTAATACATATCATGGGCATGTGGAATAGAGGTTTTAAATGTACCTTTTCTGGAAGATTATGAATGGACTGTTCACTGCTGAGCTCTATACTGTCATATTTCATTGGCATGTGAAATAAAAGTTTTATATGTAACTCTGCATGAATATGTAGGACTGATCCCTGCTGTGTGCATATAGTGGATGCAGTACTCATGTCTGCTTGCAGTTTGCTCTATTCTGTTCTATACAATTGACATGTTGAATAACAGTTTTATTGTACGTCTGGAGGATTATGAATGGACTGTTCCCTGCTGTGGGCATATCGTGGATGCATTACTCTATCTGCTGGCAGGGAAATTAAATAGAGCTGATAACTTACTCAGCTCCCTACTCCCACTGGACCTCACAACCACTGGATACACTCCTTCCCCACAGGGATACACCTCCCAGGACACTGTAGTGGAGGCACATAATGGAATGATTAACAGGGGTGACTGGGTGACCCCCAAGCGTGGCAGACACCTCTCCAAAGTGACCTTGTGGTACAGGGGTGACCCTTCCTTACGCTGGGTGACCCCCATGCGAATCTGGTTCCTGTCCTAGTGACATACATATACTGGGGTGAACCCCCTACACTGGGTGAACCCCAAGCAAATCTTATTTCAGTACTAGTGACATACATATACTGGGGGGAACCCCCACGCCCTAGGATGGGCTCATATCCACGGAGTACGATCTGTTACTGTATGCACAGACCGGGACACACTGGATACATGTATATCGACAGAACCAGGAAGGAGAACTCACGGTGCTGCCAATTCTCCACAGCACTATATCCCTTAAGGGTGAACCCTTGGATAATTTGGAGGCTACCATACCTCCCCATACACGGGCTATGTCCCGACATTACTGACTGCTTATCCCAGTCTTATTGAGGGTGACCTCCTCCTCAGACCACTCCCAGGAAATCTCTAAGTGGTACTAATTGAAACAATTCTGGGTGAACCCCAGTTGTACATGGAGGCCCACTAAGTGGCAATAAGTGTACTACCGTACCTGACACCTGTTCAGTACCCCACAGACCGAAAGAGTGTCCCAACATGCCATAAGAGACATACATACAGTGGTGACCCCCCTGCGCTGGGTGACCCCCAAGCGAGTCTTACTCCGGTGCTAGTGGCTACTGTCAGACGGGGTGACCCCCCGTGCCCTTTCTGGTGCTTCTACCTTCAGAGTACGCTCTGTCATTGTATGCACAGACCAGGGCGCACTATTCCGGCACCTCTATGCTTCAACTGGGTGATCCGTAAGCCCTTCCCTTAACCAAGAAGGAGAACTCACAGTGCTGCCAAAACTCTACAATTCTAGGCCATATAAGGATGACCCCCTTGGATTATACATATTGAGTCTTTCACGTCTCCCATACTCGGGCTACGTCCTGACATTGCAGACTGCTCATCCTGGTCTTACTGAGGGTGTCCTCATTCTCAGACCACTCCCCAGTTCCGGCGAAAGTGGTACTGATTGATCAAAATTCTGGGTGACCCCAGTTATACGCGGAGGCCCACTGAGTGGCAATACGTGTACTGTTGTACGATCCTGTCTCCCACAGACCGAAAAGTTGTGAACCAACATGTCGGACTTCCCTCAATATCCCCGACCAATTTTCAGGTGAGGATTAAGGCCGCTATGGCAGCTTCGGGGGAAGAAGTCCTCGCCAATATGCTGGGCGGGTGCAACGGCACCAACACCAATGGAAGCTAGAGATACCGACAACATTAGGTCGGACACCTTATCATCTAAACACCATTGGAAGGGCTCCGACATGGCTTCTCCAAAGGGGAACAGGAACACCACGATTTAGTGGAGCCGTCTCTCAGCCGTCCTGTCCTTTAATCATCTCAGGCTCCATCATCAGGGGACGAGGACTTCATCCCTCCTCCTTCTCTGGAGATCATGAAAGAATGGAAATCAGAAGAGTCTCCATCTGAAGTGACAAGACCCGCCTAGCAAGAAAGGTTTTTCTTTGGCACACTGGACACTCTTGCTTTGACTCACGCACCATCCGACACCCAGGGTCATCCGAATGGGGTTTACCGGAGCACTGGGCACACGTTGCCCACTTCTGGCTCAGGAGGCCTATGGGAAAAGAAGTCCGAGACACGCTCAGGGGGAATGCCCACACCCTCTTGTAACAGATCACCTGGCACCCCGACTGGGTACCTCCGTTGAAGGATGCTCCTAGCGTTTCCTGAGGACTCCAAGCACTGCAGCAGACACCACAACCACCGAACCGGAGAATCATACGAATGCTCTCAAGCATATGAATGCTGTAAGCAGCTGAACAGGAAAGCTTACACTCCTGGCAATCAGCATACAATCCAATTCCCCCAATAACGAGAAGACACTTCGTTTTGAGGTCAAGCAGAACTGACTGTACTGGCACATACAGCCTCTTTTATTCACAATCCACAAACATAGTACTGCCCACAGGGTTTTCAAATACAACCAATCAATCCGTACAATACACACAGACACTCCCACACAAAATCCTTCCCATTGCCTGTGATATGATTACTGAACACAATGGTTAATATAATTATCACAGGCAGAGAAATGGATGGCGGGCATTTTAACTCACAGACACTGTTTGGACTTTTCTACACGGTGCCATCTCGCCGGTATTTGGTGCACAAAGACATCGTGCAGTAGTTTTAAACTATACAACAGGGGACACATTATACAGTAATTATTTTTCATATAGCCTGCATATGTTCTGCGGATAAAACATATCACAGGGACCCCAAAACATGCAATAACCCCATCCGGGGGATCTGGGTGAACCACATATCCAAAATTCACCACATATCCAAAATTCACCCGTTCAGTAGTTTGGAAGATACAGTTTAATGCAGATTCCGCAGAACATATACAGGCTATATGAAAAATAATTACTGTATAATGTGTCCCCTGTTGTATAATTTAAAACTACTGCACGATGTCTTTGTGCACCAAATACCGGCGAGATGGCACCGTGTAGAAAAGTCCAAACAGTGTCTGTGAGTTAAAATGCCCGCCATCCATTGTTCTCACCATGTGCTTCATCCATTGTTCTGACCATGTGCCTCTGATACATGAAATGGTGGCCACCCAGTAACTCCACAGTATGTTCCCAGATGGTTCTTAAAGTGCCAGCAGCAGCACAACACAAATCCATTATGCCCAAATCATGTCTTTAAAGGGCAATACATCGCATAGGCCATAGTCTCATGGCAGGAGGCTGGCAACCAGTCTTCTCCAATGCCCAGTGGCGAGGTCGGTTTTGCCACACCTCTATTACCGAACAAGATAGTCCTCACCATGGAGTTCGGTATCACGTTGGTGATATTTATGTCCCGAATGGGTGCAAAGGGCAATATGTAGGTTGGGGAACGCAAGGCAGACAGGTGCATAGAATGGCACAATGCAGCCTGATTAAAGATGGATTTCAAACTATTGAGGTTAGGGACGAAAGAGCGAGGACCTCAGGTGGACGGACTATTGTTTGGAGAACCATTTATCTCAGCAACGGTTTGGTAGTAAAGAAGAAGACAGGAGACTATCGCCCAGTCATCAACCTACGCCAACCCAATGGTTTTGGGGCGTACTGACACCTCAAGAAGGAAGGTATTCATATCTTAGGGGATCTACTCCTCAAAAGGGGTTGGCAAAGTTGGATTTGAAGGACACTTACCTACTGGTTCACATGGTGCCTCATGATGTTACTAAAGCTGGTCACAGCGCACTGAAGAGCAAAGGGTATCCGCTGTCACATACCTAGATGACTTACTGACCTTTTGCAAATCCAATTCCTGACTACGTTTACAGACGAGATTTATGTTACAGTTTCAGGAATTGTTGGGATTTATAGTGAACAGAGTGGAGTCGGTTCGATCCCAGTTCCGAGTGATTCAGTTCCTCTACTTCGGTATAGACCACCTTGGGCGGATTACACGTTCCCACATCATTGATAGCGATGATTTGTAAGGAAATTCGATGGGTATGGTGGAAAGGCACCAGAACCCTTTGACTATTTCCCAGGATCACTTCACAACCGGGCCAGACATCGGCTGAACACTCACTGCCTGAGATCCGGACACACCTATGAAATTGGGATCAGAATAGCGAAGACTTCGATAGTACTCATTACCGCGGTAAAGGAGTCAAGCGTGGCACCCACAATGGTTGTCCTTAATCGGGATCATCCTCTGCTCCTTCAGTTTTAACTTGCCTTCGGGCAGATCCAAAAGGAGAATATCATCCATTGATAATGCAGGAGCGTCTGGAGTTGGTGGATTGGTGTCTTTCAGGGGAGATTGGTACGTCAAGGGACTATTGCAACCAACTAGAGACCTATTATGGGGCTCATGGACACCATGTATTCCCCGAAATAACTTATCCACATGGAACACATGGAGTCGCTGGTGTATGGGAAGGGACTGCGATCCCTTTATTACCCCTATCTCCTCAATGCTGAATCTTTATCATTATCTTTATCATACTTTCTCACTACGGGCCGATCGGAACAATCGGACAGTTCCATTAACGGGATACGTTCTGTGATTTTGACAATGCATAGTACGATTCACGACTCTCCGGTCGATCAGGAGCCTTTGATATGCCGCTTTCTGCGGGTGTCAAACTGTCCAGAACTATGCATCAAAGTATCACTGTTGTGGTTCTTTTGGAACTAGTCAGATAACACGGACCTATCCCTCCATCAGCCATCAGCCATAGGCACCTTACTTTTAGGTATTTTCGTTGGGTATCAGATGTACTGGAGTTGGATGTAGACGGTCTTTTCTGTATCACCGGAAGGAATGATTTATAAGGTGTCTCGTAGAACTAAATCTTATCTGCGTCCGTATCTTACCCTGTTCCCGGCGGTTTCCCAGTCTTTGTGCAATTAAAGCGGTACATGGAGATCACAACACTTAGATTGTCACATTCAGGACAACTGCTGGTCTTATACCAACCATACAAGCCAGTTACCAAGAACACTCTGTCTAGATGGGTTCATTGGTTGTTATCGCTAGCGAGGGGTGGAGACGTGTTTTAGGTACTCATTCGGTACAAGGCGCGGCTGCTTCTCAGGCCTTCACGGGGGGGCCTTTATATTTTACAGTGACTAATTGGACACTAATAGACTACTTCCATATATTTATTTTCATCAACCACACACGCATCCTTTTCGCTCATACCACAGCTTTAAAAATGCAAAATATGAAGCCTCCTGTCATGTGGTAAAATTGTAGATTATGCTAACGTAGTGTACCTATAATGTTAATTTTAATAATGACAGGAGGCAAATATTTTCCCTCCCTATACTCTGGAAAATTCTAATATTCTGGTTTGTCATTTTC